AAAAGGAGCATCAACTGTTATGGATGGATGGCTTCCCCCCACATGCCCCTGGAATGCCCCATTACTGACCTGACCTCCATCCAATTGTCAGATCTTTCCCTCCCCTCACCCTGGGAAGGTCTCCCTCCCCACTTTTACTGCTGATCCTCTGGGTAACTGGTTGAGCCCTTCTGCGTGCAAGAAATCATCAGAGTTCTGTCTTTTTGCTAAGTTTGAGGCTTCCAATGGATCATTGCTTAGGTCCCAAGATGGTTGATCTCTTCTCATCCATCCAGGGTTGGGCAACCTGAAAATCTTTCAGCTAGCCTGGGAACTGGTTCCTCTTTAAAGGTTTGCGTAATTCTGGAGTGAGCTTTCTGGGGCACAGGTTGGTCTAATTTAATCTATCAATGACTTGCCTTCTCCAGCCCCCATGAGCAGAGCAATTTACGCTTTCCAGTGGGTGTTCGATATGACATGGTTTACAGTGTAATTTTTTCTTGTAGAAATCAAGAGCGTTTAAATGTAATTTGCATGGAGATAGTAATTAGTTTATTATTTTATTGCAAGAGTGGGTTTATATGCTGACTCAGTGTCTAAAGCTCTGTTCCAAACGTAATGAAAAGGCATTGTTTTGTATATTGATTTTTGCCTTCAAAGCACCAATTGGTGATTGAATCCAGACCTACTCATACTTGGAGCAGACTCAGAGAAATCGACGTGACTTAGGTTAGCCGTGACTAATTTATGCACCATTCATTTCGACCATCCTATCCCTAAGCGAAAATGACAAGACTGGGAGAAGGCAAGACCTGTGGGGGAAGCCCATCATGCTAGAGAAAGATGAAGGAGAAAAGGGCAGAACACTAAGAGATGGCTGGAATCCAAAAAGGAAGCCACAATGTTAACAAGAAGAGCTGAGCAAGGTTGTTACAGAAAGGAAGTTTTGGAGGGCTTTCGATCACAGACCACACGTTACAGCGAAATTCCAATAGTACTTCTGTTGGATGTTATCCAATATGTGCAGACTCAGAAATATAGGAAAAATCTATCTCATTTTTTAAAAAATTTCTGCATATTTTCCCTTATTGTATTACAGGACAACCTTCTTCATTACGTTGAGGTTTACTGTATATAGGACTGCAGCCTGAACATCTGTTGGTTCCCTTTGCAAGCTTTACCTTTAATAGAGAATCTCTCTCTCTCTCTCTCTCTCTCTCTCTCTCTCTCTCTCTCTCTCTCTCTCTTTCCTAAGAGTTTTGTTTTTCTTCAGGGAAAACAACCATCCTGAAAACTTTCAGCTCACTTCCTACGATGCTGGAACAGTTTTCTTTAATGCTGAGTGCATCCTGATCTTTGGTGTATTCTCCATTTTCCTTTTCTCCATTACCAATGTGTGTGATTTCAATTCCAGTTCTATCCAAACAATTTTGTGTGTGGCATTGTACCAATATGCAGGTGCGTATCAAAGCCTGAGTAAAACTTTGCGCAAAAGACAGAAATGTCACGTAATGCTGTTTTTATTGCTTCTTTACATCCACTTAGAGAGCCCTTGGACGACTTAATGCAGATGATAAGGTGAAGAAATAAGTAAATGAACGAATGGAATTGTTCCGAGGGTGCCTGTTGGAGCATCATCCATGCTCACATACACATCAGTGATGCAAAGAGGGGGAACGGTGTCAATGCATATCTCTCCCCAGACCTGAAATTATATTATGGGGTTCCTTCATTGAGGTAGGTACTGTGCTATCGGGGGATTGTGTTCCCCACCCGCAACCAGTGGGCTCACCCTGGTTGCAAGATATTTTCCCCAGAAGTCTCAGGGAACCTATTCAATAGTCCTTTTTGATGTCATGTGATCTTTTTTTCTATTTTCCTCAACTTAGCAAATATTTTAACCAATTTTTTAAGCTGCTATGAGCAGTTAAGAAGATTCTCTGCAGGAATGATTAAACCATTTCATCCCATTGAGTTTCTTCTCCCTTGTGTAAAAGGATTTTAAAGGATTTTAAAAACGTTTTTAAATGTTTTCTTTTTAGTCATATGTTATCCTGAGCTGCAATTCAATGCAAATCCTATTAGGTTCTATGGATCTTGCTGCTGGGTTATGATGATAATGCTTATTCTTCTACCATAAGCCACCAAGAGAATCTTTTAATAGTGTCACCTTTACATGCCATTTAAGAAATAAGCATGAATAAAGTCGCAGAAAACTGCATGCATTCCAAACAATTCTGAAATTCGTCCTGCCAATTCCAGCTAAACCAGTAAAATGCAAGAGTCAAATGCATCCCAGAACGAACTTCCAGAAGAAGAAAGGAACACTGCAGAATTGCCAGCACTCAGTACAAACATGCAAAATTTCATAGCCCATGTCTGATCATTGATCTCTGGATGCACCTGGCAGTTCTGATCAGTGCAGAGAGGTCAGCGCAGGCAGCGGACAGAAAGCATCTGGATTTTAATTGGTTAACTTGGCACCTGCATTTTGAATGTGAGAGCCCACTGTTCTAATCCGGGGCAAAGAGGAGCAAAGCAACCATCTGGTACTTTCTGTTCATGAGTGGATTTGCTTGAGATAGCAGCCTGTTGTGGGTACCTCACCAAGATGCCTTGTCATGTCCTCTGAATGCAGACCACTTCCCAGAGCATGGCTTGTTTGCAGGAAACCGTCTAGCTGGATAACCCATGGCTTGTTTCTGGGGTTGCTGACTGAGGCTTCCTCCTGAGAGGGAGAGGGAGAGGGAGGGAAGGATGGAGGGAGGGAGGGGGAGATGGGTTTCTCTGAGCCACTGCAGAACTGTGCAGGGAGAGATTCTTGCCCAGTTTAGCCCTGATGTTTGCAACTGTCCCTAAATTGAGAGGAGACCATACCTGGAATGATGGAAGCACCAAGGTGTTTCTTTAAGCCAGTGTTCAGTTTCATCCCTCCACAAAAGAGCTCTCTTCCAGGACTCCCTATAGAGGCCGAGAGATTCTTTCCCCTTTGCCCCCCACCCTGTGCTTTTGGCAGGCTTAGTAGTAGAGATAAGATAACACAGGTAAAACTAAACCTGACTGTAAGTTTCTTTTAAGTGGTTTAGTTTCATTCTTCAGCCACAAAGCCTCCATAAGACCAATAAATGAGGCAAGGCTTACGGTGTTACAGAGAAGAGATATAAAGGAGAATGAATTAGGAAGAAAGAGGAAATCAAACAAATGCAAGGATCAGTTATTGACATTACCAGCTTCATATAATGACTGACACAAATAGAAACACTCTGGGAAAGAGAAAGCCACATGAATTGCACAATGTTGCGAAGCTGAAAGTTATTTCGGCACCAAGTCAACCCCTTTTTATTTCCCTGGTATTTTAGCTGTTAAATATGATTATTCAATTTTATACTGGTTTATATTCATACTGTCATTGGTATATTGTGGATTAGCTTATATTGGTGCAATATATTATTCTCTTTATCAACTGCAGTTTATGATGCTCGAATTGTGATGGTTGTTTTATATTTATATTTATTTATATTGCGATTTATATCCTGCCTTTTTCCTACAAAGGGCTCAAGGCAGCTTACATCTTCTCTCCTCCTCCATCTTATCCCCACAACAACAACCCTGTGAGGTAGGTTGGGCTGAGAGGCTGTGACTGGCCCAAAGTCACCCAGTTGGCTCCATGACCGAGCGGGGATTCAAACCCGGATCCTCTGAGTCCCAGTCCCATGCTCTTAACCACTACACCACACTGGCTCTCTTGTTGTTGATGTCCTCTTGACTTCAAAGTTGTTAATATTATGCCATGTTTTAATATGGTTTTTATTTGTTGTGCACTGTTCTGAGAGCTTTTTTGCTCAATCAATGAGCAGTCTATAAAGGCTTAAAAATAAGTATGTAAATAAATATTATGAATCCCATGTCTGTTCTCCCTGATAGCTGAAACTCTCTTTGTGATTCTCAACTATTTGTCGAAAGAACAATTTTAAAAATGGATAGAGTAAAAATAGAGCATACAACACCTAATCCACAAGATATAAAACAGCTTGAACATCTAAAGCAATTTCAGGAAAAACTAGACTCCTTAAAATAGCTGACATAACCTATCATATCTCATTGAATGTCTGGAGGTAGAGGGTAATTTTCACCCGATGCTGACAAATTAGGGAGAGAAGGGCCCAGAAATTAAGTGCTCTCTTGGTAAAAAAGAAATGTTTTAAATCTTGATGTACAAACTCATGCTCAAAGAAGAGGAGAAGTGGAAAACAAAACCCTTATTTCGGAGAGCGGTGCTCACGCACGCATGCACGCACGCACGCATGGAAGATGCTAGAAAATTCAGCGGATATCTGACCCCAAGGAGTGGAACAGCAAAAATTTCTGTGGAAATATAGGGTCAAGTTCTACATATTGGGGAGCAGGGGAGGTATATACATTTCTCAAAATAGATATGAATCACCAGGCTCTGGAAATCCAGATCTCCCGAGCAACAAAGGGAAACTCCATCGTTGTGGCTGCACTCACAACCCTGCCATTCTCTGCGAGCGTGCGGGCACACACACAAAACCCAAAAACACAAACAAACAAAAAGAGACAGAGAGAGGAAAAAAAAAGAGAAAAGCAAGAAAGACGCTTGCTTCTGACATGTGAAACAGGAAGTCACCAACCAAGAATGGTTCTTGCTACCAACGTGTGACAACAGAACTACAAAAATCAGCTGAGTTGGAGAAAGTTGCTGGGCTTGGTTTGTTTTTGCTGTTGTTTGGAAGCATTTGGGCACCACGAATAGGCTTGTCCGAGCTTGAACCTGGTGGGAGGGCCTTGTTAAGAAACCCAGAAAAGCCTTCTCCTCTTTGAGGTGATAGTTGACTCACGTCCCGCCTTCAGATCTTCTGTTTTTCCTACGACAGGCGATGAAACTACCTTTTTTCCAGATCACATGAGCCAAGGTGTGGGGGAATCTTCTTAGGACCAGAGATGCAAAACCGAGGCGATCGCAGGATGATGTGGGGCAAAACTCAGGACTTTATAAAGGGATGAGCTTTCAGCTGGAGCAGAAACCTTTCTTACCAGTGAATCCTCCGGAAGTAGCGAGAGATATGACTGAAGAAAGTGTCAGCAGACAGATTGGTGCCCCGGTCCATACATACCTCTATTTCATCATTGCTTCTTTAACCATCTGTCTTCTTGCCACTCTGGGAACTATTCTAGTCTTAGTGCTTCAGCAAACGGTAAGTTCCTTCCTGCTCAAGTCTTTTGCCTTGTTTCACTTTTATTGTCCAGAAAATGCGTTGAATGCCTGCTCCATGGCACAGAGGTTGGTGTTCTGGGCTAGGATCGAGCTGGTTTGGGAGAGCCAATTCCATTGCAAAAAGTGTCCTGCATCTTAGAGGATAGGCTGTTATTAGCACTCAATGTCCTGTTTAAGGAAAAGCAGCTTGAAATGAGACAAAAATGGTCTCTGGAAGGCAAACGTATCTTGACATTTAAATGGTAAGCTCCTGGCAAGAAGGACCCCACCCCTTGCTTCTGTTTCTCTGTAAAAGTAGAATGTCTATTTTGCAATAGTAGAGATTATTTGGCTTCGTGACTCCAGTTTGACAGCTCAGAGTGATAGCAGCTCTTTGCTGTTTCAGCCACAGAAGGGCTTTTCCGTCCTCTGCTACCTACAATCCTTTTGAGAAGAGATGCCAGATATTGAACAGGGAAATGCATTTGTTTGTTTCAAGTTTTTCTATCTTTGCATGAGCTTGATGCTCTTTTGCAACTGAACTAGCCCTCCCTTTCCCTTATTTATCAGTCTGTCTGTCTGATCTATCACATGCTCACAGCCTTCACGGAACAAAATGGTACAGCTATGTAATCCAATTAATTTCTTCCCCTTGTAATTTTGAGAACAAAATGGTACAGCTATGTAATTCAATTAATTTCTTCCCCTTGTAATTTTGAGAAAGCTCTTATTTGTAATAAATATGGGCTCTTTCTCTCAACATACATACATGAGGAATATCCATTAATGATGGCAGCTTTTGCCTTCCTTGGGAACATCTTTGGGATTTATGTATGCCGTCCACCAAGTGGCAGTTTGACAAACTCTCAGGTTGGAGAGTTTTAGAGGTTTCCACTGATTTATTTTACTAGTTTAAAGAACATTAGATCTTGACTGAATTACACTGCCGACTTCCAGAATCTGGAACTCAGTTCTCTTTTCCTTCTGCTGTTTCTGAAGGCAATGATTGGTCTGTAAAAGATAGAACTAAATTCCTTTCCCCCAACACATGCACCCCGAATTTGCACAGAGTGGTCCCCAGCAAGTGAAATTGAAGGCTGGATGCTATGTAGAGTTGTTATGTTCATACTCCTACTTTTTCTTCTACCTGTCCTAAAGGCAAGAACTTCCATGGATAAATAACAACCTACAAAGACATTTTTTTCATCTCTTTCTGCTCCCACAGTCCTTGAGACCCTAGGAAGGGGTCTGAAACTCAAGGAATGACAACTCTGGGAAATGGTACTGCTGTTTAATTAGAAATGGACAAGAAAAATAATGTCTGGTCTCATTTCCATAAATTCACCCATAGGACTGATCTTGTTTCCACATTCAGCTGTAAGATTTTAAAAAATCTACTTGTATCTTTACCCTTAAAGACATAGCTAAGTCATACAGAATGCCTATTTTGGTTAAAAATACGCATTTATCATTGATATACATATTTTTTTCATGAAGAAGGCATTTCTTTATGATTTTAGAGCTGAAATCTCTATTGGAATATAGGTGAAGTAAAAAAAGCTAGTGGTAGCCAGGTTCAGTTCTACACATTGATCAGGGAGATTTAGGACTATATTTATTTGTTTGTTTGTTTGTTTGGAATTTTTGTATGCTGTCCCATTCGCATAAGCCTCGGGACAGCTTCCAACATATAAATAAGTACTCATACAAATAAATACATTTAAATCTGGATACATCCTGGTTAAATATTTTAAAAACAAGAAATAATAGCAACAATTATTAAAATATCATTTAAATAAAAAGGTCTTGGCCTGGCGCTGAAAAACGAATAATGACGGTGCCAGGCGGACCTCTCTGGGGAGCACATTACTTCCATAGGTGGGGCGCCACCGCAGAGAAGGCCCTCCTCCGGGTACTCACCCTCCTAATGTCCTTCACAGAGGGTTCCTGGAGGAGGGCCTCTGCCCTTTACCTATTTGGAACAGATATATAATATGAATATATCTATTTGTTATTAGAATTTAGAAAGATTTGATTCCAAACCCTAACCAGAAGCCATTTAAAATACTTAAATTATTTATGTAGCCTTCCAGATGCCGACTCCTATCATCCTTCACTATCTTTATGCTGGCAGAAGCTGATGGGAATTGGAGTCCAAGAACACCTAACTAGCCACAACTTACAGAAATAAGTCCAGGATTCATTACTACACGTAGCTAAATTTTAATCTAGTTTAGAATGAAATTCTGTATACCTTCAGACAGAAAAAGACCTCAACACCAAGCATAATAGGAGATAGACCCCTTTCATTTAAAATTCTGTAGGATTGCACCTTTAGGATAGTAAATTGTACCAGAAAACTTCAGTCTGCTCTGTTAGGCTTGTGTGTTTTTATTATCTCAATTATTCTTATTATTAAAATCCCAACATTTTATTATAATGCACTACATCAAATTTTATACCTCTTTTCAGCAGACTACAAAAGTAATGTACAGAAACTATCAAACTATAGCCATAAAATATAGAAAACAGCCTCTGCTTCGGTGTAACCATACTGGTACAGTTCTCTGGCAGCGAAAACAGTGATTCTTGGCAAGAGATGGAAAGGGGAAGAGTTGAAAGCCTGCATTTTGTTGATATACAGCATGTTCCAGAAGGCGGCAACAGTGGATGCTGGCTTACAGGCATCCCTAAGGGGAACCTTCATGTTTGTGAGCCGCCCCAAGGCTTCGGCGAATGGGGCGGCATAGACGTTTCCTAAATAAATAAATAATAAACCTCAAGAGCACATGGCCAGGTCAGAACTTCTGAGAACACCTGAGATCAGGCAAGGTCCGATGCTGTCAGGGCTGGAGCAAAAGGTACCCCAAGGCAAAGCTGAATACTTTTTCTGGGCAATCACATTGCTCCCACGTATTACACTGGCTAGGACCATTTTTTCTTAAGCAAGGTTTTCTGGGATATTTCTGTCCTGGACCATTCATTTCCAACAGAAAGAACGCAATATTAGGTAAACAGCTTTGGCCATTGGCTGGTGTAGACATTAGATAGATGAGAGAATTGATGCCTGTAATTTGGAGATGTTGTGTATTTTGAGCAAGCGATGTATTTTAAGGCCTCTCACTCAAGCTGGGCTCACAGTTTGCCTCTTCTCTGAGCTACAGAGAGCGTACATGCCAGACCATGTGGAGACCTTCAAGGATCCCCATTTCATCTTCCAAGAAATTAAAGGCCCTCTGTTCTTAACAACAGCACCACTGCTGTTCCAAATGGGTTTTGGGTTATATTGATCCTTCTTTTAACATTCAAAACAGAGAGAAATTAGACTAGCTAGCTAGAAGTCAAATCTGTTGCCAGAGGAAACTTGTCTCCCCATCACCACCCTCCATGGGTAAACGGGCCATGGGTGGTATCCTGTCAATCCTAATCAGGGCTTATTTCTGAATAGACATGCACAGGACAACACTAGACATCATTTCTTAGTCTTACCCCATTTTTCAGGGCTACCACGCAACATGAAAAGTAGAAAGCAAATCGGAAATAGCCAGAGTGGCTTAAACCATGGAAAAACGTAGACTGAATCTAAGCTGTACTCTTCTGTTCAGCACTGGTTAGGCGCCATCCTGTGTATCTCACCCAATGCTGAACACCACAGCTTAAGAACAATGCGAATAAAGTGGAAAATGTTCAGAAGAGAGCAGCAAGAGTGATCAGGTTAATGAACTGAAGCCGTTGAAGGAGACGCTGGAAGAATTGGGCATGTTTAGCCTTGAGAAGATAAGACTAAGGGGAGATTTGATTCTGTCCCTCAAGTCTTTGAAGGGCTGTCAAACAGATGTGAATTGATGGATATCAATTCAGGACATGCTGACTCGTATTAAAATTAGCCAAGAAGGAATTTCTCCTGCATCCCCTGTGCTAGCAGGCAGACTGTAAGTAGTGATCTCCTTTGTATACCCAAAGCAGTACCATCCATACTGGATTGGGAAGTATTAAAAGGCCTCATTAGAGTTTACCTGGATTATTGAATCGTGGAATCATAGAACTGTACAGCTGGGAGGCTACGGAGTCTCCAAGTAGAAGCACTCCTTGTGAAGGACTGCCTTTTGCAGACACCCAGTGTGGGTTTGCTCACAATCTCCCTAGCTCAGTGGTGCTCATTTCAAATGCCATGCATTAGCCCACTTGGCTACCATCCTGTGCAAGTCAGGGGCCCACAAGGCCCTGCCCTGACAGGAGACGCAATTGGCAGATAAGAACAGCTCACAGCAGCCTACTGTGATGCCTTACGGTGCGATAGCCATCTCTCTAATCCTCAGGTACAAGCAAATTCCCGGGAGGGATGCAAAACTCAGTACAACCTGAGCTTACAAAAGTTCTCCAGATTGCCCCTCAAGGCTCATGCCAACCTGAGCCTGCAGCAGATTGAGCCAGCAGCGGGTTGCTTTTCGTTTGCTTGCTTGAACTTTGCATGGAAATGCATGTGCGTATTTGCGGATATGTTTCCAAATGTGCAGATCAAATCTGAGAAGCATTCATGCTTCTCCCATTGATTAAAATCTGTTTGTATGCATTTTCAAAAGTGCACCTCCTTTCATGTGCATTTTTCAGTTTTGTGCATGCTGTTTGATGCAAACTTTTGGATTGATGAATCACAGGACAAGCTCCAAAATGTACAGATGGTGATCTCAGATTATCTCTGAGCCTGTATTTGGTTCAGAAGGTGTGAAGTGGGCAAAAGCAAATCAGAAGTGAACTGGAACATGTGTTCCATACCCTCTTTGTTGGGGCATGACCTTGATGGTGCCAGTTGCAATGGACAGATCCAGGCCAGGGAATCTGGGACTGAATTGTGGTTCCGTCGCTCTCTTGATTTGTTTTCTCTTTGCCTGTTGCACTTTTTACTCTGTTTTTCACTAGGATGTGGACCATCCATTGTGTTGACTCACAACACTGGACTTATACCTAAATATAGCCAATGTCAGCAAATGGATGAATTTT